CTCTAGTCTAAGGGTGGCTCTGCCCCAGCTCACAATTATAAGTGTGTACAATCAACATTAAAGTTGACAGGTGATTTGTTGACGCAAAACCCTCTGAAAAATCGCGGGAAGCCTTCTTGGTTCATCATAACCTATTTCGTCACTCGCTAAATAAACAAACAAGTGCTCAAGTCATATATTTCAAGCCAATATCATGGTTGGATACTCATTTCCATGTTATCTTTCTGCCAAAGGCCTTTTTCAACGTATAATGTAGATTTACTTGGACCTCCCCATTACACGATTCGTCTAGACCTCAAGCAATCATGGGCACGCCAACGATCCCTAGTATGTATACACCAATGAATTTTGTTTATATCATCAAAATCTTTAACACCAAGTTATAAAGTTGGGTAGAATCTCTTNATGGTTGGATACTCATTTCCATGTTATCTTTCTGCCAAAGGCCTTTTTCAACGTATAATGTAGATTTACTTGGACCTCCCCATTACACGATTCGTCTAGACCTCAAGCAATCATGGGCACGCCAACGATCCCTAGTATGCATACACCAATGAATTTTGTTTATATCATCAAAATCTTTAACACCAAGTTATAAAGTTGGGTAGAATCTCTAACAATAGCCTTTGAATTTAGGAATTTAGATTGGTGGTGGAACTCAAGGTAGAATAAGTATTTTCTTTCTTAAAAATCTCACAAAAGGCTTAATCTAGTTGTAGAAAAAAATATCCCTATTTATAGGTCTGGAATAAGAATAGTATTAGTAAATAAAAAAACTCAGATTTACGAACGACTGCTAAATCGGTGAGAGGGCAATCATAGAACAGTTGATACTAAAATAAAAATCATATTTTCATCTTGTCCAAGAGTAACACCGCTCGAGTGACCTTGAAGGACCACTCGAGCTGGCTCTGTGCTGTTTCCCTGNTATTTTCATCTTGTCCAAGAGTAACACCGCTCGAGTGACCTTGAAGGACCACTCGAGTGACCTTGAAGGACCACTCGAGCTTGCTCTGTGCTGTTTCCCTATGACATTTTCTTATCTAATTTCCTAAGTCATCAAGAAACCGACCTGGCCAAAGCTAGTAAGTATAGTTCGGTCCCTACTGATTTTTGAAACACAAAAGTAAGCAACAACTAGTCTTCTTGAGAACTAAATGGTGTTGCTAAAGAGGGATCCGATAATAACTTAATTTATGTTTCCAAAATACAAAATGTTTAGAAATCTTTTCTTTTAAAAGTATTTAGGAGTCATTTATGGATTGCTTTCATANGGTGTTGCTAAAGAGGGATCCGATAATAACTTAATTTATGTTTCCAAAATACAAAATTTTTAGAAATCTTTTCTTTTAAAAGTATTTAGGAGCCATTTATGGATTGCTTTCATTTTTATTTTCATCTTAATCATCCTAATTTAAAAGTAATTAAGGGTTCATCTTAGGTGTCGATGTCATTACCTTTGTCCTAAGTGCGAAGGTGTATATTTTAACTTTTTTTTTTTACGAATGTGTGTATTAAGGTTGAATGATGTTGCATTAAAACTTGATCTTCTTCCCTCGATGACATTTTCAGATCTTCAACTTTATAGTATCATGACCATAAAAAATGCTAATATTTTTAATGGACCCCACAAAATTAACCAATTACAGAATGTGATATAATAAT